TACAGCTACATGTTTTGCTCAGAAGATCTTATGATATCGCCATGGTCATTATCGAACTATTTGTCTTAATGATCTACAACAACGTTAAGGCGCCTCAGCTCATTCGTTATTTATGTTGTTTTAGATTATTGTCAGGAATTTCGCTTAGATTTGCCTCGAGGTGTCATTTGCGTGTATGTATGTCAATATTTTTGTAAATGCCTTAGCATTAAAGTGAGAATGCTCATAATTTGTTATTCATCCGTCCACTTATTAGTTTACCTTGCTAGCTCTGAGAGCCCCTGACTTTTCCTGCAGAGGTTCTGTGATGTTTAAACTGTCATATTTCGTGCTGTTTCCGCGTCTTAGTTGAGTGGGATTTTGCTTAATTGGGTCGCAAGCTTAATGTTATGTTATGCATAAGTATGGCTACTTATGTACTTGTGATTTTATCATGAAATCTCGTGAAGAAACAGTTGATCATATTGGATTTTTCCTCTGCTTAATCCATGCTAAGCGTCACAATATCAATACCAGCGTTAACTACTTAAGCCTGGGGTGGCTCATGCTTTAATACTTTACGGTTGAACTTCCTCTCCTTGTGTTATTACTCTTGCTTAGCCCAATATTTACAGGTATGCAGGTGGTCTGATGCTATCATTTTCATGTATCTTCAGATCTATGTTCTCAACCCTTAATAAATGATGTTAATGGGGCATTCTTACGTCATAACGAGCTATGCTAATCGAGAGAATTTCGAGTCCAGTTAGCTATACCGAGAAAGGATTATCTATTTCCCTATGACAATTCAAAATTCGTTTAAACGTTCCTTTACCTCACTTTTATTTTCCTTTGAGAATCCAGTCGCAACACGCTGAGGTCTCCGCTATCTTTCCTAAATCAAATTTCCCATGATGGTCGCAGTCCCTACAAATGCTGCTGAGTGTTCTTTGTGCGACTTAGTGGAATCATCTGCGCCTACTACCAGATCGCGTCGCAATTTAATTCTCCCAGCCCTGATTAGTGGTGGACTGTTTATCGGATTAGGTAGTTATCTAACTGGTGCTTTTATGGCCCCAGCCTTCAGGCGCATATGTCTGCCCTATCTGCCTGCTACACCTCGCCAGATAAACAACCTTTTGATCATGCTTTCTAGGGAGAAAGAGCCACTCGGTCGCTTGGTTGATCTGGGTAGCGGGGATGGGCGCGTGGTGAGTTGTAGATAAATATTTTCTTAGTCAATCTTTTGATATTGAATCCATGTTGTTCCATCTCATGTTAGGATGGCTGAGCTAGGGCTGCATAGATCAGACTTGCAGGATATTAATCTACAATTTTTCTTTGGTCTATGCTTCTGCTCATTGTCCTCCTTTCTAGGCTTTCGGCTCTTAGATGATGGATATTCTTAGAGCAAAACATTATCCCCGAACCTGGCAGGAACTTGATTTGATTACTCGATCTGGTCATATCAAATATTTATTTTTCTCTTCATTACAATCTTAATTGAGATTAGGTCTTTTACTATATCGTACTATATCTGCAGTCTTGTGAAAAAAATAGGCGAACAAAATTATTTTTTACTTTGTTGTAACCTATCCTCATTATTTTCCCATTTAATGTTTACTTTTTGTCACATCCAATGCGTACCCATGGGTCAACATCCTTTGGTGCAGAGGTCACGTGAGTGCGTGACTAATCTTGACTCTTTATTTCGCGTCGTCTAATCAAAGTTTAGCACCGCATCGTTCAATCAGAAGTTGACATGAAAAACCACGCAAGGGTATATATATCAAGTAGCCAA